AGTGATTTTTGACCAAAAAACTTCATCGAAACGCGGCAAGAAGACGCAGCCGTTCCGACCGTCCGTCGATCAATCGATGGCTGGTGGACGTCCGAAGAAGAAGCTAACGGATAGCCAATGAGCGAAAGGCGAATGGAACCAGGAAATATCGTTTCCAAAGGCGATAATTTATTTTCAGTCCGACAACGGAGATGAGATAGAAAAATTCGAACAACACAGACATCATCAACGCCGACGACAAGTACAAGCATGACTTACGGTGGTGTTGCGACTTAACTGACACGATACATGGAGCGCTGCGACGATCCTTGGGTTCCTATGAAACAATCAGCGTGAGCCGGGACTCAGGCACCCAGCCCCAGCATCCGACGGCCGGTGGACGTCCTCCTATTGCCCACCGAGCCGACGTAGGTAGGTTGAGCTCCTGCCTCCTACCTTTTGTTGCGGCCACTATTGTTTCATTGATATAGAGATGAATTCGACGGAGAGCTCGGCTGGCATTCGATTGGCACACGGCATCGATGGAGAATAAAAACCCAATGAATTGATAGCCTGGAATGAGCCTCATTCACGCATACAATGTCGAAAGTCATGTATTCACGATGCGGAAACTCGAAATGGTGGCGAAAGCGGTCTTCCGTCTTTTTCCATCCCGCAATGACACCGTTCTGGCGTCAGAAGCTCCACATGAACATTCGACACAACAAAGTTGTCGATCCAAAATCATTTTTTTTTCTAACGATGGAAAAGTAAAATCTTCCATTGTAAGGGTACTTGACGGCTGCGATTCGAAACACTCGCCATTCGGTGGGAATCAAAACGGAAGAATTCAAATCGAAAGACGAGTTCAGCTGTCTATTCCGTCGGAGCCACGACTCATCAGACGATTTTTGAGGGAGCGAAGAACTTCATTGAGAGGAACCCGCAGGAAATTCCTTCACCTCTTGGAAAACTCGTTCAACTGCGAGCGCCTCCGACGGGGGTTTCGACGTGCAGCTCCTATTTAAAACAGGCGAAACAACCCGGATGAGATCTCGTACTGCTCAAGAGATGAGCATCTCTAATCGTAGATATTCTCAAGCTGCGGAACTCGCTCTGTAAATCCGCTCAACGGTCCGCACATTTTTCTCTAGTCCCAATCATCATTTCTTCAAATTATCCTCTTTCCGAACAGAGCATCTCCTTCGCGGATGAGATCCAATTTTCAGTGCGCATTGACCTCTGTTCTTCTCGCTGCCGAAGGAAGCATCGATATTTTTGCCTCTTCTCTTCCTCGTCGTGCCGCTGTGATTGACTTTGCCAGTCACTCAGTCAGTCATCGAAGAAGCAAGCCGGACAGCTCGGCTGCCGGCCGTCCGGTCGCTCAATGACCCGCCACGAATCAATTGCACGCGACAGTTGTCCGAAAGGGAGCCAGTGTTTTTCCCTGCGCATTTCACATCCGAGTGGATCTTCCTTCGTCGGAGAATTCCGTGGTGTTCGCACACCCTTTGCTGTTGTAGTTTTTGTCGTCGAGCCTGTCGGTGGCGATTGCGCTCAGGCTCAGGAGCTCGCTGCTCGGATTCTGGGACTTGATGAGGAACTTGACAGATTGCTCACGAAAGACGAAATGTCGAAGGTCGAATTGGAAACTCGTTGAATTTCACAGAGGCGACTGAATCATTCACCGACACCGGCTGATATAACAATCGAAACTTTGATTGCGACTGATACGGTCCCATTCTTTCGGAGAATCAGACGGCCAGGAATGGGAATCCATCGAATTTTCGGAACACCGAGTTAGGGTTCCACTTCAATGAAGTGACTCGTACGCCCGGAAGTCGACTTGGCCATTGGCGCTTTTTCAACATTATAGCTCATAATTAGGGAAGGAAGCCCGTCGGAGGCTGGAGTATATGGAGTCTTCCCGTCTCCCTCCTTCGAATCCAGTATATCGGGAGTCGTGTCTTCATTTCTCAGACTTCCCTTGGGAGCGCAATCAAATTCAAGGGATAATCCGAAGGCCGCGCACGGTGGAGCCTATCCTCGAATCCTAATCGATCATGGACCGGTCGGATATGCTTCAGAATAAGTCATGGAATCCCATATTGTACCGTCCTGCGGGGCCCTGACCACCAAGCACCGTGCGTTTATGCATGCACGTGAGCCCAATCCGATTCCCGATATCGATTCCCGATCCAGGCGGGTATTTCCGCTTCGTATCGGATGCTCCAGAAGTTAACCCAACTTAAAGTTCCATGAGCTCCGCCTGAGGATCATGATCGGGAACGCAGTGACGGTGACTGATCAAATTATTCACGCAGGACCAGGATCCGCCACGCGAGATCCGGCGCTCTGGAATTGATTCGGAGTCAGAAAAGGATTAGACAACTTTCCAACGGAGATTTTGTGCGCGCAACGCATCGGCGTTGAAAAATGATTTGGTTGACGTATGGAGGTTCGTTTTGCCAGAATCGCGGAGGGAATGTAGACCAGGGATGGTGGAGTCCGATCATTTATTCTCCCCGCGTCTGGAAAAGAAAAATCATCGAGCTATTGCGATCCAGCTGTTTTGAATAAGAGACCGTACTCGTTCCCGCGGATTCCCGATCCGGTTATTAACCATGGGCCGAGAACTACAGAGAGTCATCCGAGGAACGACATGCGTCAACTCCCCTCGGTGTCGTGTCCAAAGATTGTGGCTTGGCTTACCTCCAGTGGAGCCGAGCCTTGATCCCTAACCGTCGACTCCGTTCGAAGATCCCGAAGAGTTTTCCAGAAAGATGCGTCATTATGACGTAAGAGACCGACAGATTTTCGAAAAAGATCATTTTCCAAGAATGTTGCCATCTAACGCTTGGAACCCTCAATTTCGTTCCCCACCACCACCACCAACAACAACATCCAACCGGTGACATTTCTCATTCTCGCGACTCTGACGGAGAATATGCGGAGAATTCTGAGGAAATGACTCACTCGGAACCCGGTCGGGGAAGGAACGGCTGCTCGGCTCTTGTCTCGATGCCTCTAACCGAGTTAGCGAGTATTCGTTCGGTTTCAATTTGCGGAACGTGACACATAGCAGCAGCACCACTGTCCGGTGTGCGCTATTTGCGGGCGAGTCGAGCCTCCGGCCCGTACGACCATGTTCTGAATCGGCAAACACAGCTCGGACAAGCTTTGGAAGCGAATAACCTTTGATCAGCTATGAAATCTGCTCGTCCGCATGGCCCGCAAGTCGGTTGGCCGTACGAGCGATGGTCGTCCATCGGACTCCGGGTCGTCTGTGGGAGCGACGGTGAAGACTATGCTGGACGTGCAGGATGCGGCGAAAGTGCATGAGACTGACAGAAATGCTGGGAAGTCGATTTCGATCCATCAATGAGACCGGAGCCACTTGAGCAACGCTTAGCGCCTTTGGTCGCACACAAATGCGCACAGACGTTCTCATATGTTGTCGGCCGAACGGTCAGCGAGCAAGTCTCCCTTTGAGCCGGCAGAAGCAAGGAAGGTGGCGAGAACATCGCGCTTTTGTCTGAACGTCTCACCGCTGCTGGTATCAGCTAACGTTCCGACTCGAGCGCAATGCCATTAAAACTATTTGGACGAGGAATATTCAGGATCGATGCCAAGCCGACTTACCCCCATGCAACTTGCCCGCCGCTTGCCACCTCGCGTTCTTCTCGACAATCGTGTCTATTCCATCTATGTAGACTATCTTTGTGAAGGCGACGACGCCGACGTCGCGCCGCCGGGTTAAGCAAACAAGCCGAGGAACGGCTCGCTAGTCGGAGCGGCAAACACAAGAGCTTTGAGCACTTCCGACACATGAATTCTAGATGAATTGTCTCGCCGGAATCTCTGCCCCCATCCGACAACCGGCACTTGATCTGCTTGGAATCAGTGCAAATCATTGAAGTGAATGACTTTTGCTCTTGGCACAACAACAACAACAACAACAACAACAACGACAACATCGATCCAGCGTGTTGATGTGAGGTCTCTTTGTTCTCACTGATGCTGCTCTGAATTCAGCTCTCGAGTCACAGGTGATTATTATTTCCGACGGCACCGTCAGACTCTTTCCTTCGCGGTTTTGTTCTCACTCAGTTCTTCCGAATTATTCTCCGGCTTCGTCTGAGCTGGTGATTCGGATTGATTTGATCCGACAATCGTTTCTCCGCCTGTCAGCTCTTATTCACGAGCCGCGAAGCCAAAAATAGAAGTTTCACAAAATCTGGGAGCAGGTCTTCGCGTCTTATGTGACATACTGATCGCGATACCAGTCGCTGAATAGGGAGTTGTGACTTCTGGTGGCGTCGGTCTTTATCACGGTGCCTGAGCATGTCTCTCTTCAACCAGTCCGCTCCTGTGTAGGGGCTTCTCACTTAGCTGCCGAAGATGTGGCATGGTCGACTTTCGGCAATCTGTATATCCATTCGATGGTAACGCTTCGGTATGAGCTTGAGAAATGGGAGGTAGCTCCCGGAATGTTCTCGAACCTCTCGACGGCTCGGAGCCCCGGTCGAATGCGCGTGAGATTGATCTAGCCCATTGTCATTTTTCCGATGAGGCCAATTATGATCTCAAATCTCTCTATCGATAATTTGTTCAGTAATATGGACTAGTTCGAGAGCACTCTTCCTCTTTGAGGAGAGCCTACGCTCTCGCAATGATGGCTGCGGCCCCACCCCACCAAGGGAGAGGAAGGGTAGCCACGTAGCCCGATCCGACCATCTACCATTCGGGTAAGCTTCGCTCTACGCACTTGAAGCACCGTTCGCAGGGTTTAGGGAGAGGATGACTTCATACTGCGGCGCCATTCAAGTAGATCTTGAGAATATTACTGGAGGAATTTCGCTGTCGAGGCAGACGAAAAGCCGGCGAAATTCCGCTCAAATTCGCTCGGTCGATCAGAAAACGAAAAAAAGCCTGTCAGCTGTGGCGGAGAGAGTTCTGTGGAGAGGATGGGAAAGGGCAGCATGGGGTCTACCCGGCATTGCTCCAATCAACTAACTGTCAGTTCTGTTCAGACGGTGACCCGGGATAAGTTTGTGCGAGACTTTGTGAAACTACGAAGGAATTCAATATGAGCATCTGCAGCGGCGAGGATCTTACATTCAGGAGGTACGTTCTGTACCTTCAAAGGAGCTAGAAATTTTGGTACAAATGGAAGCGCATTAGCTTTGGGGACTCACGAGAAAATGACCGGTCATCGTGACTGATCTCTTGGGAAGAGTTCCCGGACTTCAACGTGGTGATCAGTTATCACATTCTGACTCTTTTCGGGACTCATGATCCCCCGAACATCAACCATCCGTTGAGAATTGTCGTCTCAATTCTCCGGTTGAGGGCTTGTAGAGTCCCCTTGCTCCTCCCGAGTTCCTCGAGCCCCTCGAAAGATGTTAGCGTGGCCATCAAAACTATTGGGCATTCTAGACTCTAGACTCATCACTTATCTGACACAAGATATGATAACGGCAAACGCTAGACGAACGGTCCGCAGGGACACGGCTGATTCTGATCACTTCTTTGGAAGCAAAGGATATCAATTGGTCAGGGCGAATCGTATCGATCAGTTTCAACCGTTCATTATCCAGAAGTCTCTCGTCCGTCCACGGAGTCACAGTCAAGGATGACTAGGATGATCGAAACCACAGCTGTTTCTTTCCTCTGACGCAAATAAGAGGGATGCTAGGTCGGCATCTGCCCTAGTAGCGTAATATTACGCACCCGATGAGCCATGCTGGAGAAAGCGTGCTTTCAAGTCGCCTCCTTGCTTCCATCTCAGATTTTCCGGACCGTTTAGAACACTCTTTGAGTATGCAAAGATACGATACACGGATGCAAGATAGGAATACTTTGCTGGAACGGGCGAGACACTTCTACGGCGAGAGACTTGACTGGTTCCGATAATCATTGACAGAGGTGTGACTGCATGAATTTTCCCCGTTCTACTTGTAATCTCAAAAGGATATCGGTTGGGAGCACTCTTATCAGAACGAAAAATACAATCGGACACAGACTCCGGAATCGCGACTCATGGTCAGACGGGATTCAAAGCGGATTTCATTATCACACAACGTAACACACGTGCGTCTGAACGATAAGACTATCTACGGTCGACAGAAAACCGCTTCGCCAAATAAGGCAGTTGGAAAGCAAGACTTCAACCTCCAGTCCCCAGAGCTGGACGGAGAAACCAGTCTACGATTCTTGGAAAACGGGAAACGAGATCCGAGGAGCCACATCCCCGCAGGAGTACACACCCTCAAGCGATTCTGAGCGAAGAGGTCCCGACTTATCGTAGAGGGGTCTCGCGCGGAGGAATCGCGACTCTTTTCGGAGTCAGTGCCGGAATATCATCGTGCCTCTCGAGCGCGTGCTTCAAAGTACAGCGGCTAAGTCTCTCATCACGGCGGACAATCTCGATTCCGAAGGACGTCGTCACACGCGTCTGGAAATTCCGAGACCGCTCCGACCCGAGGCGGCTTCACGATGAGCTGAGAATCGAAGGCAGCGATTGAGCCGGGATACCTCCGGCTAGCCACGATGCATCCAGTATCGGCCTTCAACTTGTCTTGTATCGTAATCCGTCAGAGCACGTGGAGTATGTATTTGGTGTTAGCAGTGGCGTCCTGTGTCTCCCGTGCCGCTGAATGAAGAGGCCTAGGTGACAGAATGTCTTGACGTGGCCCACCGCGAAGCCGTGACGGGGCCTCCTTGTGATGTAATGATGTCAAAGCGAAAGTGACGTTTCATGTTGCTGCTCGGAAGAACTTTGATACAGACTATGAGCGAATAATGGACGTTTCTAGGGGTCACGAGTCCTCTTTGATCGACGTCGGTCGTAGTCGAGCCCAACGTATTGTCCATTCGCTCTTCGGTCGACCAAGCCGGGAGCACTCTGCGGAGGCGACAGCGGGCGGCGGCTCTGATCTACGGACGGGTCGGTCAGAAAATGGAATCGAGAGCATGCTCTCGGTGACTGGTCCAGACACTCGTAGAACACGTAAAGTTTACAAAACTCACATATACACCGATTGCGAGAAGTGCGGAGAAGGAGCTCGCATCGCTTTAGCGGTCCGATAAGTGGTTAGCGTAGCGGATGCTCAAGTTTCCAGGACGGTTGACGGAGCCCGAAGCGAATGACGTGACCGTTGAGCCTCCTGTGCGTCGTTTCGTGACCCTGTCGGTTTGGCTTTCAGCACTGCGACCAGTGCTGAGCACCCGAACTATTTAGGATGACAAACGTCGTCGTCCAGTCCGCGGACAGTTCAGTCTTCCAACCGGACTTCGACGATTGTTTCGGAGCTGCAACGGGAACAGCGGAAGCGTAGGCGGGAAGTAGAATCCCTCCCTGGACAGATCCTCAGAATCCCAGCACTGATGAATAATAATAATCGGTCGAGCATTTTGGGCTCGTTGGGTTTTCGCACTCTAGCACCGCCTCGAGCCTCCGATTCTCGTCTGCCATATTGCAGCACAGCAAAAAGATTCTATCGAGGCTCGGGCTGCCGCACCGTCTTCTTGCCGCATCGATAAATCTCTCAGGAGCTGCTCGCCACCTGTCTCCGTCGAGAGTATTCCGGATCCCAATGGATCCATTATTCCTGAGTCAGCTCTCACGGACAATGTCAGCTGAGGGGCCGAGGAGGTGATGTCAGCGAGATCATCCTCCTCCAGGCAACAGGACTCGGATATTTCGAGATCTACCGGCTTGAAAGAGATGACACTTTTGCGGCGAGGGATAAGATGTGAAGAACGTAAGGAGATTCAGGAATCCTGAGCTCGCCAAGATGGTCAAGAGCAACGGAGCTGACAATGAGCGAGGCATCATCGCTCGCAGCTCCTGGATCACATAGATATGCCTGGATGGGTATGACGGAGCGCTTGATGGAATTTCTGTGTCGAGAGACCGCTGACGTGCTGATCCTCCGAGGGGGATGGCGCGAGCAGACCGCTATCGATGTCCCCTCGATCAGTGGATGAGATATCCTTTCTACTGCAGCAGCCCATCTCCCTTAGTCCCAAAAGCAATGTGGGCAGCAAGCTGGGCCACGGATCTATTGATGCCACATCCCAGTCAGACGACTTGATCCGACAACCCCAGTGACCTGCCGAAGCAAAGCTCACCCGATCTATCTGTTTGCTGCGTTGTAATGATGTTTGTGGCATCGGTACGGCCGTGCTTCAATTACGAAAATTGTCCAGGGAGCTGGACGCCAGGAACAGACTTCGTCGAGGATTCTCCGAGGGTTTCGGGAGTTTTTTGTCCTCATATGCATCGGCGTTTTTTTCTCGATCTGAGCGTGGCGGTACCACGGGGAGCGAACTCACCGCTCTCCCGCCAGGAACGGTCCCCACGTGTGGGTCACGTAATGTTTCTCCACCCTTGTCATGATACTCTCACTACAATTTACCCACGGGTGGGACGGAGCTCGTTCGCTTCCGATGCCGAACTTTCACCGGCAAGCGGACGTAAGACTGGCTATCCGCAAATCGAGTCCGCCACGACTTCAGAACGATCGTTTGTCGAGACGGCTTGATACACCTAGTCGACGCCGATCAAAAGCTGTATCGAACATCTAGGACAATACCGTGAGTTTCCGACGTCGAATCTGGTGCCATATCCCGCGCCGTCTCTTATTGAGGGAACTTTGGGTGGAGCAGTGAGAGCCGCCCACCGTGTTCCCATTTCCTTGCCTGTGGACTTTGGTCCATCCATCACTCCGGTGCCTCCATCATCATCGAAATGCCGTTCTTCTTCTTTCGTCTCAGAAAGACAGGTCACCACCACTCAGCAACATGGAATCAATTATTGCTCGGTCACAACGAGAAAGAAAGCCGGAAATCGAGAGGAAGTTTATTGTTTCCGATGCCCCGTGGTCGCAGCGGTCGTCCATTTAGGCGGGCGGGCGGCGACCGACGTCGGCGCCGACTAAACAGCTCTCGTTCTGAAAAACCATGTACCGTCTCTTGCTCTCTGACGTGGGAATGGAAGCTGACGACTTTCCACGGGAATCCAACTTGTACTCGATCCCGCATCAACGGTGAATCGGACTACGAAACAAGCGGCGTCTATGAGATCTTGAGCCCTCCAGAGCTCTCGGTACGATCTTCAGCGTCACCGGGAAAAAAAACGACGACGAGAGTCACACACGTCGCGTCGGAGCTGCCGACGTGATTCTCATTTCTCTTCCTCCGTTAGTCCGGAGCAGCTCAGAAACCGCACAATTAGATTCCCGGTGAAACGTCGAACCGCCGAGGAAGTAGTAGTAGTTGTTTTATAAAGAAGACAGGATCTTCGCCTGTTCCGACGTTCGTGACCGGCTGGTGTTCTGGTGCACGACCGAGTCGATCCGGATTGACCGTCACGAACTTCGAGATGAAAATTAAAAATAGGGGAGAAATGAAAATAAAGAAGAGCGGGATCCTGCTGCCGCATTCGATTTCGCCGTCGGAGACCAACAAAAAGAATTAGAATCAAGTATAAGCACACGCGAAGGCCGCCGAGGCGTCGTATGAAAACAATTTGAGCTTCCTTTACTAATGATTCCCGTTTGGAGCGCACAACAAGACCAAACTCATAAAAGGGATCAGGCACCTCCGAAACGACAAGGGAGTCGACTTCAACCACCGATGGCCAAGTGAATCTTGATTCCTCTGATTGAGGACTATGAATATTGAGACAGATAATCAAGCTGCCGGGACATGCGGGCCGGAATCACTAGTAGGATGCGAGAATACAGTCGGAGACACATTTCGTGCGGAGCTCCTCAAGACTGTTGAAGGCCACGGACGATTGTACAGAGTGTCGTGACAGTGTACGGGTCGCGAACGTCTTCCACGCTTTACTGAAGTTTGCTCCGGACCGCATTGTCGTCGTATGCATTCATGCACGTTTGGCCTCAGACAACCCTATTCGGCGCTCGACACTGTCCGCCTCCCGTTGAATGACTCCGTCTTCAGCGTCGGCCTACATCATGCGGAGCCATGCTCCAATCTCGCCGAACTCATCGAAATACTTATTCAGCCAGCCGCACAATGGGAAGGAGAAGAACACCGTGCGCGCGATCAGATCAGCCGTGGTTTTGTTACCGGCTAGATTCAATGGCTCCGACCGC